TAACAACTCACAGACATCTGAAACATGACGAGAGCCTTTTGTAAAGAGTCACAAGCCAAAAAGGTTGGGAGTTGTTAATCTTTTTCACTATTATTGTATTTTTACTATTTTATTGGTTTGATCATATGTTTGTCATGTAAAATCTTCATTTGAAAAGCAACCGGTAACTAAAGCTGTCAGTAAAATGTAGCATTGTAAAAAGTACAATAGTTTCCTCTGAATAACTTATTTATATACTTATATAGATAGAAATAGCCTTGTTACTTCCATGAAAGATGACGGATTGCTTTCAATGTTATAACTTTGACAATCTCCCTGTATCTTGGACATTTTGAACGACTGACATTTCATTTGATACTTTGATATTTACCACATCCGATGAGCATTTACTGTGGCCTACTTTTCTCTCTGGTCTCATCTGACTTTGCCATAATGTCTGATTTACGGCTTGGCTTTACTTTTCTTCATCCTAGTGTGATTTTTGATTTGCCCCAGTTGCCTTTTGAATCATAACAATATTGAAAAAAAACTTGTCAAAAAGGAGGATTTGCATCTTAATGGCTCTTAGCAACAGCAGAGGCCCTCTCAGCACTGTGCTTTTCAGAGTCACATGAAATGCTACAACAGTAAGTATTACCAATATATACATATACTATTTCACAAGGACCTCAAAATCTATTGTCTATCTAATCTATCTGTGTAATAACAGATCACTGATAGCAATGTATTAGTGGGGGATTAGCATGACTTTAGCCTGCTTTCTGGGCACAATAAAAAGCTTTAATCTCGGCTCTGACTGGGAGGCGGGCCTGCCGGGCCGGGCCAATGAGGTGCCCCGGTGTCTGCAGCGTGTCCCCGCCCATGGTGGTGTCTCCCGTGGTGGCGGTGTTGCGGGCCGGCCGTGCAGCAGACGCGGTGACAGACGTGCCCCTGGGATTCCACCTGTCAGCTGCAAACGCACTAATCGACAGGCCTCGCATAAACTGAACTCTCTGCCACCCCTCTGTCAAATCTTCATCTTCTCATTCGTCTGACAGACTCCCTCTGCACCCCC